ATGGCATGGCTTTGAAGCTGGGTTTTGGAGAGTTCTAAGAGGAAAAGTTCACTGTTGGCTGTTGATTGGATGCCTGGGCCATGAGAGAAGTCTGTGTTGCAAAACTGCTGTCTTAGAGACACACAAAGCAGCTGGGCACAGAATGAACAGAAAGCCAGAAGCTTTGGGAGGCTTGGCAACCTCAGACCCTTGAAATCTGCATATTCAAACAAATCCAGATTCCTTCCAGGTTAAGAATTGGTTCATTGTTTATAACTATGGGACAAGAGTGAGACACAAAACACATAAATCAAAGAAAGTTCATACGTCACCTCTTAGAGAAGGTTCCGAGCAAGCCTGGGAATAGCAACCTTCTTTAAAGCCAAAAGAAATGAGTAGAAATCACTCTTAAATCCTTCTGCTTACCTTGTTTAGAACAGAAATCTCTCTCAGTGTCTACTACTACTTTTGAGACTTGGAAGAATTCCCAGTGTGGTGTTTCATGCATTATGTGATTGTGGGTGATCTAACCAGATCACATTAAAAGCTTTCCTAAACTAACAGGGCAGAAGAAGGGCTTATTGGCAAAGTTCTGTGAGTCAAGAACCTGGGCTTCAACCATTAGATATCTGGGTGACCTGTGGGAACTTATCTTTTTTTTTTGAGACCAAGTTTGACTCTGTAGCCCATACCGGCTTCAAATTTGCAGCAACCTTTCTGCTTTACCCTCTTGAGGCTAAGATTTTGATTTTTGTGGAATCTTTTTTGTTTCATTTTTGTTTTTCTTTTATTGTTGTTGTTTTGACACAGGGTTTTTCTGTGTAGCCCTGGCTGTCCTGGAATTTGCTCTGTAGACCAGGCTGGCTTTGAACTCAGACTGGATCAGCCTCCTGAGTGCTGGGATTAAAGGTGTGTTTTTGTTTCTGTTTTATTAAGAGAGAGAGAGAGAGAGAGAGAGAGAGAGAGAGAGAGAGAGAGAGAGAGAGAGAGAATAAAGTTGGGTTGGGTGGGTAGGGAGGATGGGAGGATTTGTGAAGAGTTGCAGGGGGACATATTGTATGAAAATTTTTTCGTTAAAATAATAAAAACAGCCGGGCGGTGGTGCCGCACACCTATAATCCCAGCACTCAGGAGGCAGAGCCAGGCAGATCTCTGTGAGTTTAAGGCCAGCTTGGTCTACAGAGTGAGATCCAGGACAGGCGCCAAAGCTACACAGAGAAACCAAGTGTGAGACATCAATACCTATTTAAAAGTTCTCTAAACTTTAGTTTTCTTTAATATATTACATAATACATGTGCCTGTTTGTAGAGAGCCGTGCACGGCCGTGCCTCAAAGATGGCGCGGCGTCTGGCTTCTGCCTTCCCGATGGCAGATGCTCCTTATTTGGCTAAGGCTAGGATCTGGCTTGCTTCTGCACACCTGGACCTAATCTGGCTTGCTTGCGTATGTCTGACCCTAGCGGCATTGTCCACTGGCACCACGGGGTTGATTGCCCAGTGGCTATAAAGGGCGGGGGCTGGCTTTTGAGAGCGCGCGCGCGAGTGAGTGAGTGAGTGAGTGAGAGAGAGTGAGTGAGTGAGTGAGTGAGTGAGTGAGTGTGAGTGTGAGAGTGAGAGAGAAAAAGAAGATGGCTTTCCCCAGGGTCAGAAGATTGTTCAAGGTTCCTGAATAAACTGCTTGGAGAAGAGCATGGCGTCGAGTCTTCCTTGCCGGTCGAGGCAGACGCAACACCTGTTACTAAAAAAATTCACGAATTTAAACTCTGTATTTTCCTTCTTTTACATTTATTTACTTAGTAGGGTGTGTGTGTGTGTGTGTACACTTCTGAGAGTATCCGCATGATATACACAGGCACTTGCCACAGTGGGCATGGGGAGATCAGAGGACAACAGTTTTCTCCTTCTACTAAGTGGGTCCTGGGGGTTGAACTCTAGTCATCAGACTTGGTAGCAAGTACCTTAACCTCCTGAGACCTCTCACTTGTTCCAATTTCTGTATTTTTTTAAAATGGACTCCAGACTAGTAGTTCAGTTGGTAGAGTGCTTACCTAGTTAATACGTTCGAAACCTGAATCCCCTTTACCACATAAAATCAGGCAAAGAGATTGAGGCAGGAGGATCAGAAATTCAAGATCAGCCTGGACTACATAGTGAGGTCAAGGCCAGCTAGGGTTACATGAGATTCTCTCTCAAAATATATAAATAAATCAAATCAAATAAACGTGATCCCAAATTCCCCACCCCCAACTTTGTTTAAATTTGATTTGTTTTACTATATTTTATTTTGATTTGTTTTTGTGGTGCTAAACATTGAACACAGGGCCTTCAACATGCTAGGTAACACCACCATGGAGCTACACCCTTACACATTCAGCTCACTGTGGGGTCATGCACTGTCTTCTAATCTCTTTGTCTTTGTTTCCACACTTACAAACACATACTTCACAGAGATATTAAGAGAAAATAAGACGAAAAAAAATTTTGTGTGTATTTTAAGACAGGGTTTCTCTGTGTAGCCTTGGTGTCCTGGAACTCCCTCTGTAGACCAGGCTGGTCTAGGTGATCATCTGCCTCTGCCTCCGAGTGCTGGGATCAAAGGCATGTGCCGCCACCACCCTGTAGATGTAATTCTAAACTGTTTTATTAAATAAGAAACACAGAGCCAAATGCAGAGCTAAAAGCCCAAGAGGTCAGAGCAGTAGCTAAGAGCTGAGACTAAAACCGCCTTCTTACCACCGCAGCCATCCTTCCCCTCAGAAAGAGACCTACTTCCTGTGTGTCTGTCTTTTTATTGACTTTCTGTCCTGCCTTCTCATTAGTTGTAAACCCAACCACTTGACCTCCTCGTCACTGCCTGTCTATACAGACCTCCAGGTCTCTATGGTTGGTATTGAGATTAAAGGTGTTTGTCTACAAGCTGGCTATGTCCTTGAACACACAGACTCTGCCTGCCATGTGATCGGATTAAAGGCGTGTGCCATCACCGCCCTGCTTCTGCTATGGCTTGCAATTAGCTCTGACCCCCAGGCAACTTTATTTATTAACATACAAATAAAATCACATTTCAGTACAAATAAAATATCGTCATACCATCCAGCTGAAAGTTTTAATTATACAAAATCCTATGTCAAGAGCAAAGAAAATTAAATCTATAAATTAACTCCAAATTCCATTTTATTCAATAATTTTCTCTAACTAAAATTCTGTTGTTGAAGCAGGAGGATGGAAAGTTTCAGGCCAACCTAGACTAGAGTGAGACCTTGTCTCAAAAGCACAAACAATAACAACAGAAATTTGAATCTTAGATAAACAATGGGTAACGTTTTACTTGTTTTTATTTGGGGTTGTTTGTTTGGTTGGTTGATTTGAATCTTTTGATACAGGGTCTCAATATGTAGTCAAGGCTAGCCTTGCTATTTCTCAGTAGCTGAGGATGCCCTTCAATTCTGGACCCTCCTTACTCTTCTCTCTCAAACTGAGATTACAAGTGTGTGTGTACCCATGCCCTGTTGGATAATGTTTTAGAATGAGTATGTATTAGGACTCGAAAAATAATCCCTGGTTTGATCTCCAATGTATGTGGGGGAAGGGTTATTTTTTTCCCTGAAAGTATTTACTTTTTATTTTATGTGTATAAGTGTTTTGTCTGTATGTATACAAGTACACCACTTGCATGCCTGGTGCCCACAGGAGCCAGAAGAAGACATGAGATCCCCTGGAACTGGAGTTACAGATGGTTGTGAGTCACCATATGGGTGATGGGAACCAAGCTTGGGTCCTCTGCAAAAGCAGCAACTGCTCATAACGACTGAGCCATCTCTCCAGCCACTGTGTGTGGGTTTGTACATATGCCCTCTGAGGCCAGAAGAAGATATTAGGTCCCCTGGAGCTGGAGTTACAGGCAGTTGTGTGCCTCCCTAAATGACTACTGGGAAGAGAACTTGGATCTTCTTCAAAAGCAAGGAACACTCTTAACTGCTGATCCATCTCTCCAACCCTGACTTGAATTAAGAATGGCCCCAGTAGGCTCATATATTTGAATGCTTAGTCACCAGGGAGTGACACTATTTGAAAGGATTAGAAGGATTAGGAGGTATGGCCTTGTTGGAGAACATGTGTCACTGGGGGTGGGCTTTGAGGTTTCAAAAGCCTATGACAAGCCCATAGTCTCTCTCTCAGCCTGTGGATCAGGATGTAGCTCTCAGTTATTGCTCCAGTACCATGCCTACCTCCTTCCATGTTCCCTGCCATGATGATAATGGACTAAACTTCCAGAGGAACTGAGCTCAATTCCAAGCACCCACATACATGCAGGCAAAACACCCAAACTCATAAAATAATGTAAAATGTAATAATAAAGTAAGAGTGGAGAAATGGCTCAGTGGTGAAGAACACTTAACTGCTCTTTGAGCGTCCAAGCCCCTCCCCACTGCACCAAGGCTGTGCAAGGCATCACACCACAGTCACCGGGCTCCCAAAAGCCTGCCCATGTACCAGGGACAGTTCCTGATCCCCCTGCCTGGGAGTCCCCCAAACAGTTAGAGTCAAACAACCATCTTCCATGTCCAGAGGGCCTAGTCCAGTCCCATGGGGGCTCTACAGCCACTAGTCTACAGTTCATGGGCTTTCACTAGTGTGGCCGGTCATCTCTGCACGTCTTCCCATGATGATCTCAACGTCTTTCAAAATATTAGTCAATATATATGTGTATAATCTTTGTCATTTGGGAGGCTGAGGCCTCCAGAGTACAAAGCCAGCCTGGGCTATGTAGGAAGGCTCTCAACACTCCTTCTTCAAAAAAAACAATGTTATATCATCCGGTGTGTTCTTGGCTCCTTTATTTGTCTTATCTTTACCACATCCCTAGCCATTCTCAAACTTACCAAAAGATTAATTTCTTACTTATGTGCTCCTTAGGGATTTCCTCATTCCTAGACAACTGTAATAAAAGATGCTTTTTATTTGGCAGTGAAAAATATGAAATAAGTTAGCGGTACAGCTCAGTGATAGAGAGCACTTACCTAGGCAGCGGGAGGCCCTAGGTTCTATCTGCAGCATTTGCAAAAGGAGAACAGAAGTTGGGAAAGGATGTGTCTAGCTGTGATTTGAGCACCGGGGAAGGTGCTAGGGCTCACAGCCTTCCACCCTGCTGGTTGGTACCTTGATCTGAACTCCGCAGGTGCCTCTCTGTTCCTGTGCTGTGAGATCCTTCATTCTGTCTGCTAGTCTCTACTCATTTTTCTGGTGCAACCAAGTCTCACTTCAGAACCAAAGGGCCATGAGTAGGTTTAGGTCTCCATACCCAAGTTGACTTATAGCTCTCCTACACCAACCTCCTGAACTGGATGGAGTGAGGTTTAAATTCATGCCAAACTTCTCCTAGGTGCCCACCAGAGAGCTAAAGGATCAGCTGGACAGTTTTTTTTTTTTTCTCCTGCTCTTCTCTCCTCAGCAGGATGGAAAGCTGCATCCCCCTCCCCGCTTTCTCAGGACTACAGCACTTCCCACTGCTTTCTCCCTTTCCACCCCCTGGCTGCCTCTCTCAGAGCTGCCAGGTTGCCATGCCAATAAGGTTCCCATGGTTACTAGGAGGCGCTGCTGCATTCCCATAGGCAGCCTCTCTCTATTCAAAGAAAAAGGAGACCGTTATTGCCTCCAGGGTCAAACGAATAAATATATAAGTGAAAAAGGACAGTGCGGTCTCAGCCCCCAGAGCTGTTGGAGGAAGAATGTTGTAAAAGTCTGGTCACCGGGCTAGACCTTGGACAGAATCCTGCTGCCTCCACTCAAGTTGTCCCTCTCCTAAACCTAGGGAGAGAGGTGCCTGGCACTGGTTCAAGCCCATTGTTTTGCCTATTGTGGGGTCTAAATAGACAGCACATTGTGAGGATCGTGTTAATATGTAAATAATGGATACATCTGTGCTCTCTGTGCAGCAAGGAAACTGGCAAAATGCAAAGCGGGCCCTTCCCTCTCCTCAGTTGGAGACAAGAGTCTTGTCGGTTTTTCTCCACATGGTGTGGTGTTCTTCCGCGCCGGCACTCTCGGGCCACACCTTGTTTCTGTTTCTTTTTAAACACAAAATTTGTTCTCTTAAAATAGAAAGGCATGATTTTAGTGTAAAATTCAAAACTAAAGAAAATAGGGGGGAAAAAACATTTATAGTTTCAAATTACAATGTTTCCCAGCACTTGGGAGGTGGAGGCAAGGGTCTCAGAGGGTCAGAGTTATCCTGGGCTACATAGAGAGTTCAAGGTCAGTGTGAACTATAGGAGACCTTGTCTTAGAAAGAAAAGTAAACACAATATGTAGCTTAATTGCTTCATTTTATATTTAATTAACTGATAATTGTATATGTTTGTGGGATATAGTGTGATGTTTTGACACACACACATATATATGTATACAAAGCATATACCCAAAGTATATATGTATGTATACAAAGTATACATATACATATATATATATATATGTTACAAAATATAATGGTCAAATCTGAGTAATAGCATTTCTATCTTCTTAAAGAGTTCTCAAATCTTTGTGTTGAGAACCTTCAAACTCTTATTTGTTAGAGCTTTATGAAATTCAGAGTCTAGGACCAGTGCTTTGGCTTAGTAGATGAATGCACTTGCTGCCAAGACTGATAACCTGAGTTTGAACCTCAAAACCTACATGGTGGAGAGAACTGACCTGTAGGCAGAAACTTCTCTCCCACCTGCCTGTTCCCAAATAATTGAATCAGAGGCTTAATATTACTTATAGATGCTAGGCCGGTGACTCAGGCTTATTACTAACTAGCTCTTACACTTAAATTAACCCATAATTCTTATCTATGTTTAGCCACGTGGCTTGGTACCTTTTCTTAGTGAAGCATTCTCATCTTGCTTCCTCTGGGGCTGGCTGGCAACTACTGACTCTACCCTTCCTCTTTCCAGCATTCTTAGTTTGGTCAACCTGCCTATACTTCCTACCTGGCTATTGGCCAATAAGCATTTTATTAAACCAATTCGAGTGACAAATCTTTACAGTGTACAAGAGCATTATCCCACAACATTTCCCCATTTTTGTCTAATCAAAAAAGAAGGTTTTAACTTTAACATATTAAAATTACATATAATGAAACAGTTATCAAGCAAGAATTACATTAACACTATCTAATCCATTTGCATTTGGCAAAATTAGAGGAAATATTTAATTATCTATCTTATCTTGGTGAGTCTAAAGTTTTGTATCTAATTTACTTTCTATTAGAATTAAGGAAAACTATAATTATAACTATTTTGTCTTCAACTCCATCAAAGACCCCAGAGGGATATAATATTACCTAAGTAAACAAGAAGTGCATTGCAAGCAACCTCTAAAACTCTAAAAATGATAGAGGCATCTGGCTGCCTGTACAGACACCTAAAGTTCTTCTGTAACATTGAGGCATCCACCTTCAGCCTACAGACCCAGAATATCTGGCAGACTTTTTAGTGAAGCAGGAAATTTGAAGGACTGTCCTGCCTTGTATTCACAAAGTTCATCAGTTGCTTTCCTCTGTGTCCTGTAGAATATCTGGCAGACTCTTCTGTGAAGCAGGAATTTTGAAGGAATATCCTGCCTTGTTTTGGTAGAGTTCAACAGTCTTTTTCCTGTGTGTCCTGCATGTACAGTCTGCACAACATACTGTCAGCAGCCAAATGCAAGAGCAATTTCTTTGCCCAGTGGCTGACTTTGCCACAATGAAAGCAAACTCCATATGAAGTTTCTTCAATGCCCATCATCTTCTCTGAAGTAGATTGGTGATGCCAGGAGCAGATATGTCTCACTCTCATAAAGAGAGAGAGAGAGAGAGAGAGAGAGAGAGAGAGAGAGAGAGAGAGAGAGCCTATATTATTAAAACATCTTAAATGTCATATTCTGTAGCTCTCCAAAGTGTTTGAAGATGATCTGCCTATCTAAAATATATCTCTGCTTGACCTTGAAAACATTATCTAATATGACTATAAGTTTGATTGTAATGACTAATTACTAACCTGTATTTCTTTATTGAACTAAATAGTTTATAATAATAACTTTCAAAGACTAGAAATTTGCATTACATTGTTAAATGAGTTGTATAGGTACAATACCTTGAACAAAAGTAGAAATGCATGTACAGTATGTTCTAACAAAATAATCTCAACTTTGTATCAATATACAAAGATCCATATCAATGTAAAATATTTAAAGCTAGTAGCTGCAAGTTTGGTTTAAAAGTAGATTTCAATAATCTACCTTTTTATCCTATTTCTATATCCCCCACTTTTTCTTTTCAAAACAAGATCCCTGAATCTAAACTCCTTTGTTCAGCTTTTTTCCTGACCGTTGCCAATAGCAATTTGTAACCAACCACCTTAAATGATGACAAATATCCATAACCCATTGAAAGACCAAAACCACCCACTCCACCTCTTGGGAATGTTTTGGGAATTTTTGATTAGACAGAAAGGGAGAAATGATGTGAGATGTCCTTCTGTATGCTGCTAATGTGTGTTGCTTTTATTGGTTGATGAATAAAACTGCTTTGGCCTATGGCAGGGCAGAATATAGCTAGACAGGAAAGCCAAACTGAATACAAGGAGAAAGAAGGGTGGAATCGAGAGAGACACATCCAGCCGCCCAAGGAGTAACATGCCAGCAGGCTGGTGATGCCATGGCCATGTGGTGATACTTAGAGTAATAGGAATGGGTTGATTTAAGTTGTAAGAGCTAGTTAATAATAAGCCTGAGCAGTAGGCCAAGCATTTATAAGTAATATATGCCTTTGAATTATTATTATTTATTTTTTGGGATGGTCTGTATGTCAAATGTGTTGCTGATTGGTCAATAAATAAATCACTGATTGGCCCGTGGCCAGGCAGGAAGTATAGGCGGGACAAGGAGGAGAATAGAGCTGGGAAGTGGAAGGCTGAGTCAGAGAGACACTGCCAGGCGCCATGATGAGAAACAGCATGTGAAGATGCCGGTAAGCCACGAGCCATGTGGCAAGGTATAGATTAATGGAAATGGATTAATTTAAGCTATAAGAACAGTTAGCAAGAAGCCTGCCACGGCCATACAGTTTGTAACCAATATAAGTCTCTGTGTTTACTTGGTCGGGTCTGAGTGGCTGTGGGACTGGCGGGTGAGAGAGATTTGTCCTGACTGTGGGCCAGGCAGGAAAACTTTAGCTACAGGTTTCTCTGTGTAATTTTGATGCCTGTCCTGGATCTCGCTCTGTAGACCAGGTTGGCCTTGAACTCACAGAGATCTGCCTGGCTCTGCCTCCTGAGTGCTGGGATTAAAGGTGTTTGCCACTACCTCCTGGTGAATGACTATTTTATAAGCAGCTGCAGGACCAGGTGGGACGCAGAAAAGCCCCTAGCTACACTGCCCCTCCCAAAAGTTTTCCTCTGACCTTTCACAAATGGGCTCAGGAACACACACACACACACACACACACACACACACACACACACACTTACCTCTCCTACACAGAAATAAATAAATGTCATTTTTAAAATGTAGATGCTGTAGCTTCAGCTCAGTGGTAAAGCTCTTGACTAGCATGTGCAAAGTCCTGGATCACATCTATAAATAGACAAATATACATAAACAAATATACATATATGTGTGTGTATAGTAATTCTGCTGAATTATACAATACTTGAACTTATTTGCTTAATTTAGTTGCATTTTGATACCCATTGCCCAAACCCTATCACACAATTATAAAAAATCATTTAAAATTTATTCTTTATTGTATGTTTGTGTGTGTGGATGACAGGGAGATACACGTGTCACAGAGCACGTATGTCAAGGTCAGAGGATTCCTTTGGTTCTCTCCTTGTACCTTTATGTGAGTTCCCAGCGATAAACTCAGTTCTCCAGGCTTATGTGGCCAGCTCCTTTATCCACTGAGCCATCTCTCCAGTCCCATCATCTTAAAACAATATTTATTGTTTGACTCAGTTTGTTTTATTCAGAGTTTTGTCATTATGAAAAATGTCTCTCTTTTATCAGCAATTAAAAAAAAGGAAAGGAAATAAAAAACCACATGACTATTACCTTCCCCCGCCCCCCCCCCCCCCCCCAAAAAAGAAAACAAAAACAAAAAACCAGAGTTGTTTGTTACCAGAAGCAAAGGTCTGGGCTGCCAGCCACAAAAAATGATCAAATTTGGAAAAAGAGAATTGATAGGATGTGGGAGAACCACTCCCACGTTTATGTACAGAAATATTCAGATAGAAAGAGAAACCTAGCCTGGACTACCAAGTGAGTTCCAGGAAAGGCGCAAAGCTACACAGAGAAACCCTGTCTCGAAAAACCAAAAAAAAAAAAAAAAAAAAAAAAAAAAAAAAAAAAAGAAAGAAAGAGAAACCTAAATGATGAGAGGAAAGACAGAAACACCTGATAGCCTCGAGAGGGGCTGGGTCCTTATCCACCCGCCCAGAACTTTATTCAAAAGGGCTTTTTTTTTTTTTTAAATAATACCAAGGGGCGAGGCAAAAGACC